AGTAACTGCACAGCAATGTCCCCAGCAGGACAATCCCTGATGGAAGACTACTATTCTAGACTCAGTCTTAAAAAGCAAACTTTAAAAAAAATTAAAAATTGAGTATTCTTAAAAAAATTGTGCAGCTCATGGCTTTTACAAAGTTGCCATTATTATTTTCAGAGCACCTCTCCTTAAAGATGCCATAAGAAGATGATTCTCAGAATAAACAAAGTGCAATTACAGAGTGAAATAACTAAAAGGCAAGGATAAAAAGAGGTGAAGGGCACATCAGAGAGAAAGGAAAGCTTTTCTAATTATATATGGAAAGGAACAAAGATTTAGACAAAGTTATTCTGGATCATTGAACAGACTTGCTGCAGCATTTTTGTTTATACTGATTTTTTTTTCTGAGCACAAAAAGAAAGAGACTACTATACTGCAAAATCCTGGGCATGTGTGGTGTTGAAATAAAAAAATGAGCAAGATCTCACAACTTGTCATTGGAGGAATTCAACTGTTATTGTTGTACAGAGAAGAGAAAGAGCTAGCCAAATTCTGGCATGGATTGAAACATGAATATCTTATCCTGATGTTGATAGTTGCCTTCTTGCATGTTTCTATGTCACCTTCTTCTTCCAAAAATTATTATCTATACACTTAGAATCAAACAACTCCCATAGGCAACTTTGAATTTAAATCAAAACTATATATATGTAACTGAAAACAGAAAAAGAAGCATTTGAAAATTGTTCTTAGGAAAATAATACTTATCTTTCTGTCAGTAAGTCTCACCCATATAGATGCATCTTTAAATGGTTAAATTTTCTCTCAGAGTTTAAGGAACCCAAATACATGTTCATACCTTGCATGATGCCTGTCATTAAGTATACCCATACATCTGGTACTATGTAGAACTAACAAACTATCTACTCTTCCCCTGGCTCCACCATGAATTACTGTGAAATCTTCTTTCTTGCACTTTGAAAGGAGTTGAAATATACAAGAAGCACAAAAAATAACCAGGAAAAAATAATCCTTAGAAAAAAGAGCATTACATGGTGGGTTGGCCCTGAGTAGCAGCCAAACACACAGAGCCACTCACTCACTCACTCACTGCCCACCTTCCAGAAAAACTGGGGAGAAAACAGGAAGAACAAGAGAAAGATTGTGATTTAAAAAACCCAAACACTCGGCAGTTACGATCATAAGCAAAGCAGACTTGGCTTGGGGAATTTAACCTAATTTTTAATATGTAATTACTATTTCACATATTGGGGAAAAAAAAGATAAACATTTAAGTACCAAGGGCTGCCATGGGCGCATCTGTTCTGGGGCAGGCTTGTCCATGGCTTCAGTTGTCTTGGGGGTGTCCCTGCTCCAGCCCAAAGCACGTCCTGCTCCTCTGGCCTTTCTGTAATTTCTGAAATATGATTTCACTGTGTCACTGCAAACTTCTCTGATTGGTTCAGAGGCAACATCAACTCCACTGTTGAACTGAGCTCTCTCCTGCTGTGGAGCCATTTAGGTGTCTGGAACTAGTTGTGTCTGGACCAGGGCAGTCCCTGCCTTCTTCTCCCAGAGGTCAGTCACTAGGATCCCCACACAAACATGTAATTTAGCAATAAGATTGCAGAGCATCAGATTCTGTGAAGCCATGCTTTTGGAAACCAATTCATTTGCTTGTACAAAGGGCTTGGCATCTCTTATGAGACCAATGTTCTTCTCAAGAACAGAGTTGAATCACAGGATACAGACTGCCAGAACATGAGTCTCAGCTCATTTGGTCTTGAACAAAGCCTCATGCAGGCAACTGCTCTTCAGCAGCAGTCCTGCAGTCCATGAGGACCTGAACACAAGCAGCAGTTGAGTGTTAATGGAAGTGGAGACACAATGTACTCTGCAGAGCTCAAGAGCTGGCCCGGCTGCCGGACAGTCCTGGTTAGCCTGGCTGGCACCAGCGGTGAGCTGGCCTTTGCTCCCCTTTGTTCCCCTCTAGTATTAAGACAACCTACAGCTGTGTTCAGTCTGCCATCGACCTGAAGGTTATGAAGTTCAAAGCAAAGCTGTTGGTGGAAACTGAAGTCTGTTACTGACAGGAAAAACTGGCACAGCCAGTGTCATTAGGGTAAGTAGATGCATAGTTACACAAATGAATGGTATTGCTGTATCAGTTATGCTATCAGATTGCTCTGTTCCAACCCATGAGCAGATATCCATTCATGCTCAGCAGACACGAAGCACATTCCATTGGCCAAAATGAGTTGCAGCGCAGAAGTAGATGTGGGACCCATTTTTACAAGAAGCTGAGAGATCAAAAATTATTAGCAGCTGAAATAATTAACAGTGTTAGCTCTTTAGGACCACAATCAAATGTTCACTCAAGCCTTGAGGATCCTCTGAGTTGGTGCAGTTAGTGCAGAACAGACTGTGCAATGAGTGCTGCACAGGGAGCTGGATCAGCCCTCTGTTTCTTACTCCTGGGCTCCAAAGAATCAGGAGGAACAATGGTACTCAGTCTTTTGGTATGGGTTCAGGTCAGTATGTGCCATTTACAGGCATGTTTGTTGTTTTGTCCTACAGATTAGTGGAAAAAAGGCTAAGAGGAAATGCCTTAGAAAATCAGCTCCAGAGTAGCTAATTTTAGAGTAACTGGTTTCACAAAAGTGATGAGAAGCAAACTTCTTTATTAAAGATTCTTCCTTACAAAGGCTTATTAAAACCAAGAATTTCAAAACTGAATTCTATCAAAATACATACTTTAAGCAGTTGTTACTGAAACTATATATAGGAACTTTATTATCTTTCTATGAAGATTTAGCTGAAGTTATCTTCTACTGAAAACTTTGTTCTCAAAATAAATAAAAAGTCTCCTGTATTTTGAAGAATCAATATAAAATATTTTTAAAAGAAAGTGGCATGTTGATAAATGCATGTGATTTGAATTCTTCAAATATTTGACTGATGTTCCTCTTAATAAGCAGTTTTTCATAGATTGAAAATGTTTAGGTAAAGACTAACCAGGAAGATCATGGAATAAAAATTACCGGCATTGGTCTAAATAATTTATTACAAGGAGGGAAAACCTAGCTTAATATTTAGAAGATTGAATATACCTTTACTGTGGCAATTAATAAAATAAATGCAAAATAAGAACATCAATACTGTGGCTCAGAAAGCAGAATTTGGTCCCCAGGTCCACTGCCTGTTAGCTTTTTTTGTCCATGATACATATTCTTGAGGTGAGATGACTTTATTCCAATTCTGGGACATTTTAGAATCACTTCTTACTTTCTATAAGCACGAACTTGGCAGGTGCAAAACAGAAAAGTATGAGCTCAAAGACCTATTCTCTGCTACTAGGCATGAGACTTTACAAAGACACCAGACTTAGGAATGTCAGATGCCTGTCTAAATAATTGACAACTACAATGAAGTGAGGGCAAAAGTCGTTCCCAACCAGACTATATTTAAAACTGCCAACCTGAGAAGGATGCATAGTCTAGGGAAAGTGTCTGAGATTCATCTTAAAACCCTGCTGTGTGTTTCCAAGTTCAGTCATCCATCGGCTGTGGAACAACTTTAAATGAGAGGTTTACTGAGCCAGTTACTGCACAAAACTGGCTATATGGAAAGTTACATTGTACCGATGAAAACACAGTATATAAATCCTATATCACATTATGGCAAAGCTGATTTACAAACCATCTGCAGCCACACTAAGCTTCTAGCCAGACTTGGGCATTGAAAGGAATTGGTGTCATTTTGATTTGAGGTTGTGATTTGCTCAGAAATCAATCAAGAACGAGATTAGCTGACGATGTAATGTTAAATTATAGTCAATACATAGACAAGACCACAAGATCCAAAGGGTCTGGAGGCTGTGTGCCAAACCACTAAACCGGCTCCAAGTACAGGGGTGAAATTCTTCCCATTGTGAGTATACCCTGCTCCTGCCAAAGTTGGTGGACCAGCATGTCTACACTGCAAGGCAGTGTGTTTGACAGTGATATATTTCTACAAATAAACCTTTCTTGTGTTATTTAATAATATTTTCTGGTACTGTGGTTTTTGTATTGTTTTGGTGTTTGTTGTTGTTGTTGTTTGTTTGTTTTTAGGGTATTTTTTAATATGCCTGCAAAACTGCAGAATGTTGAGAAAAGAGATATTGAATGAAATCCTGGTTTCACTGAAGTTGTTGGGAAAATTCCTATTGACTTCCCCAGGGTCAGCTTCACTCTTCATAATATACTGTCCCTTGTATATTTTTGCTTGGTGACACCCAAATAAAATGTGCTTTGCTTACAAATCAAAACTTTTTTTTATAAGCTGCTAGCACTTTCAGTGCAGCATGGTAGATGAAATACAAGCTGTGCTCTTCTCTGCATCTCCTATTATTACCTGTCATAAAGAATCCACAATTAGGGTTTAGCTAGCAATTTTGCTGCTGATACACAAAGCAGATAAAAATCCAGTTTGTTCTTCCAAATCTGTTTTAGCTCTATGTCACTGATACAATAGCTTGTGGTGGTGAAACAGTAAGCAAATACTTACTTTCATCTACGTTGCCAGGTTAGATGCCTAATGAAAGAGGAGGGATGGATTTCCACACAGTAGAAAATTAATATATTCCACAATGTTGCTGTCATTGAATTTTTAAAATCTTCCATTTGGGTTTACTGCAGTAGCTATTCCAGTGTACCTGATCTTGGCAGACATTTTAGGATTACTTCAGGGACAGCAGGATCAAATCTTTGAGAGCTGACACCAGTTCCTGCAGACACACACAGGAAGAAACCCATAAATTATTTTTTCAAACAAATGTGACTTTAAAGAACACAAATGGAAGAGCAGTAGTCAAGATCACAGCATTGGTATTTCTAAAATACCATAGTAATCTCTTGAAAATCTTTTACCAGCTGTGGAGATAGAAATGGAAGATGAGAGAGAATGAGTAGGAATGAGTAGGGAACAACATGCAATGTTCTGAGTATGAAGAAGGACTATTTTCTCTTTTGCAGATTGACCAGTGGAGCAGGAAATATCTTGTACCTGGCTTGGGATTGTAAGTAAGACAATTTCTTTTTGTGTGGAAAACTAGTTTTTCAAGTTGTATGAAGAATAGGCAAACTAGTTGGCCTAAAATTAATCTCACTAGCTATGGAACAAAACAAGTATGATAAATTGTAGAAGGTGTAAAAAACCCCTTCTTCTTTGAAAGATGCTTCTTTTCTGGGAAGAAATTCTTCTAACTTGATTTCTGTCCTGTTGGAACAAAGTAAAGTTAAAATATTTTCTTTTGTCACAGCAACATCAAGTTGTTATCATTAGAGAGAGAGTAATTTCACATTAACCCACAAAAAAATGGAAAACAAAAGAACTAATACGAAATAATGCAAATATGTAAATTATTTTAATTTTAAAAATTACCAAAATAAAATGCTTTTAATGTTGTTTATATTTTTTCAAAGGAATGGTTCTCTTAAAATTATTTGACCCTATTTATAGACATTGCTTTTTCTCCTCTTGTTTCTTTTTGCATTACTGTTCAAATAATTTCAAAGTGTGATTTATGCTTGTATGGCATAAAAGGGTTGAAGCCAGCGGCATCTATTAAAATAGCCTGTGTCATAGATCATGCTATATTTCCCTCATCTGGAGGCATTTTCCTGTGATCTCTTTGAATTAATTTAATTTGAAAAATGTTGCTCTGGAGTTAGAGTACAATGAATTATAGTCATTTGTTTTGGAAACTGAAAAACAAGAAATAACCAGTGCTTTTTTTAATATACTAATTGTTTTGTTTATTTAAATAAAGAAAACTGTATGCCTATGGACCTGTTACTAATTCTCAGGACAATACAACATTTTCTCTGCCCAGCAGCAAAGATTAATAAAATACAATTTGTAATTAGTTTCTTTTCACACACTTTTGTAAATGGAGAGCAAAGAAATTTAAACCAGAAGGCACTAATTTATTTCCAAATAAGGAAAACTTAATTTAGTGTTTCTCCAGTTAGCTGAAGACCTTTATCATCCTGAAACAAGAGGGAAGTCAGGGACATGGCCGGTTCTCAAGAGCCCAGGTGAGTACCATGAAGCATCTCACAAGGAAACCTTACAGCCTGAACAGTTGGGGAGCTTCCTTTAAATGAGGATCCTCTCCTGCTGGCAGGCTCTGGGCTGGAGCATCACCATGTCCGTCCAGAACCTCACAATGTTGTGCCTTAGGCTGGCACGACAGCCAAACCCTACTGATTCAGAGCTGGAGTGACAACATTACTGCTTTCTTCCTGACAACAAACGGCACTGGAGTGAGGCACAGTGCTGACACGAAACAAGAGCCAGCCTCTGAGAAAGGGCCTGCTCCAAATCAAATCAGACAAAAAGAAAAGCACAAGGATTTTTTTTTTTTCAGTCTTACAAATGGGAAATGTTATTTTCGGGGAATGGCAGATTCTTATTTAATAGACTCAAAACTTAATGGGAAGAAAATATTCTGATTCTAATATAATACTTAAATCTCCTTATGCTCTGGAAACATAGGTACTATACATGAGCATGTGGTGTAGAAATTACTTACCTCATCACAGAAATACTTCCCCTCATTTTTACATCTGCTGATGACCCACTAGCTTCAGCTAGTCCTGATTCATAGTGACATAAGGGAATAGGAAGCATATATGGATGAGACTTTTTTCATATTTAACTTTAAATATGATTCTGATTTTTGCTCGGTATATTACTAGCCTTGCAGATTTCTGGTTGGGGGATTTCTTTCCAAATTGTGATGCCCTGGGTTTAGTTGGGTTTTTTTTTTTTGTTTTAAAATTAATATTAAATAGATTGGGCAACACAGAAATAATTTACCTGTGTTGGTATGCTAAGGAAGATTTGAGTAAAGTGTTTGCTTAGATTGTTAACAAGTAATATCATTTGGTTTATATATTTACATTACTTGAATGCTTAACCAGGGCAATCATATTCTTCTCCGTGAAAATTTTCCCTCTAAATCAGTAACCAGAAAGAGGAACATTCAATAATTTGAGGCAATGATAAAACAAGTATAATATTAAAAAGGACATTGCCTGTAAAAACCTGAATATTTCCCTATATCCTCCAAATTCCCTGTCTTGGTTAGTAATCTGTATCTACAGTGCGTGGAACCTTAAATAAATTATGAATGACAGGACAATCTTCCAGGGGTGAAAATTTTCCCCAAGGCATTATAGCTCTGAGAAATAGCTGACAAATAAGAAGTTGTATCTGGTGTGGTAGGAATTGGTAAATTTAGAAACCTTAATTACTCTGATGTTAAATATGGTTGAGGATGTTTTTATTAATGTCTATTCCTGCAGGGTAGATTTTTGGGTGATAACTCACTGGTTCAGCTACACCAGATTCAAAATAGAATAATGCATTCCATGATTAATTTGAAGCCTATTTAAGTCAGTAAATGACAGAAATTTATCTTTTTAATATATGTTGAGTTGCATTTGACCACAATAGCTAGGAACCAAATAAAGCATGCTTATTTCAACAATATTTTACCTTTTCCTTCCAATTCCTAAATACCATGTAGCAGGCAGAAACCTATGCTGTTATTTCTAGAGTGATATTGGAAAGAGATGAGGTAGCATGGCTGGAGGAAACACATCTCTTTATTATTTTGAAGTGGCTTCTCTTTCTTTCTTCAAAATATTTTTTTCATAAAATAATCTATTTCTGAACTGTCACCATTTTTATGTAGGCATCTTATAGACATGATAAAATTTGCATTATTTTTTAACTTTAATCTCAAAAATAACTTCAAGATATTTTAATTAATTGTACATATGTTTAACATTTCATTTTCAGAAGGAAAATATTGTTTAAGAGGAATTTCATTTAGATCAAGACAATTTTTGAGAAAAATATACAGTTCAAACATGTAAAAAATTATTCTTGATATGCTTGGGAGAAAAGTCTCCCATATTGAATGTACCAAAAGGGAAACATCCTCAAGTGGTTGGTAGATCATAAAAATAGTTTCCACTTATTTTTTATGGTAGTTAAACCAGTCAAAATAATGTAAAGCATGATCAGTGGCATCTATGAGTATGGTTTAAACTGAGAAAGTCTGGAACAAAGCTGAGGAAAATCATGCTTTCACAAGAGGCAGTCTGTTCAGTCCCGATGCAACAAGAAATACAAAAATCAAATGGGAATGGTCTCCTAGAGATGGCTGAGATGACCTCAGACCTTTTGAAGGTCTGGTGGGCTCTCTCTCTCTCTCTCTCAGGAGCACAGTCCCAGCCCTGGATGGAAATGTCAATCCCATGAAAATAACTTGCTCCCTTCCATCAGAGACATGAGACAATTGGTGAAGGCCTTTTAAATACACATTTTTTAGTTTACCATTGTCTTATTTTAAAGTGTTTTGATTTTTTCTACACACACACAAACCAACCCTCGAAAATTATTGTGCAGTAATCAGCAATTTTTAAAGTAGACTAAAGTAATCATCATATATATTAGACAATGCCAAAAAATGTATTAGAAACACATATTGGGGAATGAGCTTTGAATAAGATACCAAAACAGCTCTGTGCTCACTTTTCCAAGGTGGAAAGCACCAAGCAGAAGTGAAAATACTACTGTAATATGACAGTTAGAAATTATTACAAAATCACTATTAGCTAGAACTCATTGTTCTGCTGGTTGGGAAGGTATGACATCTTTTTGATTGCTCAACTACAGTAATTGCTGCCAGATGGATGCAATTTTAAGATCATTATTTGTAATCCTTCCTGTGCCCTGAGTACTTTATCTTGAAACAATTGCAATTAATATGTTCCTCAGCAGTTTTTTGCTGAGATAAATTCTTTTCTTGCTCACCCAGGTTAAAACAGTACTAAATTAATCATTGAACAATTTAGCTAAGGAACACAGCTTTGTTGGTGTGGAGTTGTTTTTCACATTTAATTAGAAGAAGTCTGAGAGCTGATTAGCTGATACTGTACTCAGTATGATAGTGCAGATCATTAAGAGTCAGATGCAAACCAAAGCACAGTGTCTTGTCTCACCATGTGCAGAGTATTTACCTGAGTAAGCAGACCTCTCCTGGTGTGAAGTATGTCAGTTCTTAGGTGAAAGGAGATTTTGTCTAAGAGACCTGGTATTGTCAGGTATGTGTCTGATCTGAACAAAACATGGGGGAACCAAATGCACCAAGGGCAACCAACATCGCAGAAACACATCTCTAAGGATGCTTGCTTCAGGTATGCTTGCTTTTCAGAGCTGTTAGGCCAGAATTCTAACTTATAATACCACATCTGTACCACATATTGTTACAAAGCCCAGATGTGAACTTTACCAAGTGAAAGAGCCAGGGTAACTATGGCTTCCTCCTGCTGTTAGCATTGGTCATTTCTGCACAAGGCCCTAATTCCCTGATGTGACTGGACAACTTCCCCAGCCAGACTGGGTCTGCTGCTGCTAAACTATCAGCAACCTACAGGTATTACTGGAGAAAAATAATCTGATCTTTATAGACTGATGTAACAGGACTTCAGTCTAGCAATATACCCCGTGTTTTTTCAGCTGAAAAACTTGTTTGTAAATGTTGACCAGCAAATAGCCATAACACACTGATACCTGATTCAACTTGCATTTCATTCAGCTGTAATTTTTTTATTAACTAGACAAGGAATTGGGTCAGACTACAGATCTTCCATCATGTTTTACAGTAACTAACACTTTGCTGGGTATAGTCCAAGAAAAAACATGAATTCCAGGCATGTTGACAAATCACTCTTTCAACTCTGTGCCCTCTGAGCTTACTATTTTGGACTCTTTCTTCACTTTCTTCATGAGGTGTGGTTTTAATAAAAATTATTATTACAGTTTGGCAGAGAAAAGGGGATGATAGAGGCATACACATTTCAAGGAAACTCTTTTTGTTAACCATTAATTCCTACTTTTGCCTAACTTTGAAAGAATGTGAATAATTAAATTTTGGTCCCTAAATACTTTATTTTTTATTTTAGACTGCTAATGATTTTTTTTTTTTTGTACTCTACCTAGGACTTAAAAATTTTAACAATTGTTTTTCAAAGAACAATGCCACAAAAGAAAACCTCATTTCAAATCTTCTCAAGTAACAGCTCAGATGCCCCATGGTCAAGGACTGTTTTCAACACTATATATCTCATCACTAGAAAAAAATTACTCTGTGGGAGATAAACTCTGATCTAATTAAAAGAGCTGGTGAAGGAAAAAAAAATAACCAAACTCCTTATTCAAAAGAAAAACCATCCTGTGAGGCTTCAGATTAGGGCTCTTAACAGGGTTCCCACCAGGTGTTATCTCTTTCATGACTCATCCAAAAAGTATGAGAAGGCAACAGCTGGAGCTTGGACTCTGCCTTTTTCTACAGGGTATTGGATGACAAAAATGGGAGCAGATACTGGTCCTGCGGTTCTTGAGTGCTAGCTTCTGAGTTGGCACTATTCCTGGTCACTGTAGCAGCACAAACTCCTTTCATGCATGGGTTATGTAGCCTGTCAGGACACTTAACATGTGCAGGTCTGTTCTAGACACCTAGGCTGTGCTCCCATTTAGGCAAATGCAAGCTTTGGGAATCTACATCATGGAAGCTGTAATGACTCTGTTTCACAAAGCATATCCAGTGCACATTTAGCTGTACATGTGTTAGATTCACCCTCATTCAGAAAAGTGTTACTCTTAAGGTGAAATCTGAACTCATTTGACAGCTGTACTGTACAAAGGCTCATATTCCTAAGACACCTTCTAACCTTACTGCTTCAAAGTGCTGCAGGATTCCAAAATTCAGTGGGAAATATACAACATACTGAGGTTTTAGTTGGACACCCATTTCACAGCCTTTTAGGTTTAAGAATGCTTTATTACAGTCTTCATTGTCAGAAAATATTTTGACTCTATTTAGATAAGAGGAGTTTAATCAAATCTTGATTTAATGGACTTCTCTGGAATACAAAACTTACTCCAAAAAGGGAAGGGCAGAGACTGAAAGATGGCAGGATGTCAGACAGGCTGTGCAAGTCATGCAATTCAAAGCACATGT